TGGAACCCACTCATTCTCACTTTGCATTAAAATAAGGGGTTTTTGGAGCAGTTAATGTGCATAAATGCCACTACTGTTCTTATGTCACTATGGAACCCATACTCACTTTGATTTTGATTTAAAACAGAGTTCTTGGTAGTTAATGTGCTTAAATTTAAACGCCAGTACTGTGCTTATGTCACTATAGAACTCATGTATCCTCACTTTGCATTAAAACAGAGGGTCTTCGGGCAGTTGATAAACTTAAATGCCATTACTGTCTTTATCTTACTTTTGCAACCCACCCATTCTCGATTTGAATTAAAACAGAAGTTTCTTGGGCCAGTTAATGTGCTTAAATGCAACCACTGTGCTGTGTCACTATAGGACCCATCTATCCTCACTTTGCATTAAAGCAGAGGGTCTTTGGGGCAGTTGATAAACTTAAATGCAACTACTGTGCTTATATCACTCTAGAACCCATAGCCTCACTTTGCATTAAAACAGGGTCCTTGGGGCAGTTAATGGGCTTAAATGCACTACTGCCTTTTGTGTGGAACCCACTCATCCTCACTTTGCATTAAAACAAGGGATTTTGGGAGCAGTTATTGTGCATAAATGCCACTACTGTCCTTATGTCACTATGGAACCCATACTCACTTTTACTTTGATTTAAAACAGAGTTCTTGGTAGTTAATGTGCTTAAATTTAAACGCCAGTACTGTGCTTATGTCACTATAGAACTCGTATATCCTCACTTTGCATTAAAGTAGAGGGTCATTATGCCACTGCTGTGCTTGTGTTAAGGTGGAACCCACGCATGCTCACTTTGCATTAAAACAGAGGTTCCTTGGTACAGTTAATATGCTTAAATGCCACTACTGCCCTTATCTTACTTTTGCAACCCACGCATCCTCGATTTGAATTAAAACAGAAGTTTCTTGGGCCAGTTAATGTGCTTAAATGCAACCACTGTGCTGTGTCACTATAGGACCCATCTATCCTCACTTTGCATTAAAGCAGAGGGTCTTTGGGGCAGTTGATAAACTTAAATGCAACTACTGTGCTTATATCACTCTAGAACCCATAGCCTCACTTTGCATTAAAACAGGGTCCTTGGGGCAGTTAATGTGTTTAAATGCCACAGCTGTCCTTAGGTTAATATGGAACCCACCCATCCTCACTCTGCATTAAAACAGGTCCTTGAGGCAGTTAATGTGCTTAAATTGCACTGCCATCCTTATGTTACTATAGAACCTATTCTTACTTTGATTTTTATTTAAAATGGAGTCCTTGGGGCAGTTAATGCGCTTAAATGCACTACTGTCTTTTAGTGTGGAACCCACTCATCCTCACTTTGCATTAAAATAAGGGGTTTTTGGAGCAGTTAATGTGCATAAATGCCACTACTGTTCTATGTCACTATGGAACCCATACTCACTTTGATTTTGATTTAAAACAGAGTTCTTGGTAGTTAATGTGCTTAAATTTAAACGCCAGTACTGTGCTTATGTCACTATAAAACCCATGTATCCTCACTTTGCATTAAAGTAGAGGGTCCTTACTCCACCTCTGTTCTTTTGTTAAGGTGGAACCCACCCATCCTCACTTGGTATTAAAACAGTCTCTGGACCAGTTAATATGTTTAAATGCCACAGCTGTCCTTAGGTAATATGGAACCCACTCATCCTCACTTTGCATTGAAACAGGGGGTCTTTGGGGCAATTAATGTGCTTAAATGCCACTAGTGTCCTTATGTCACTCATATAACCCATAATTACTTTGATTTAAAATGGAGTCCGTGGACAGTTAATGTGCTTCAGTGCCACTACTGCCCTTAAGTTAAGGTGGAACCCATCCATCCTAACTGCATTAAAGCAGAAGGTCTTTGGGGAAGTTAATGTGTTTAAATTATGCTACTACTGCCTTTTAGTGTGAAACCCACCCATCCTCACTTTGCATTAAAACAATCCTTGGGGCAGTTAATGTGCTTAAATGCCAGCACTGTCTTTATCTTACTTTGCAACTCACCCATCCTCTCTATGAATTAAAAGAGGGTTCCAAGGGGAAAAAAACACAGAGGGTCCTTGGGGCAGTTAATGTGCTTAAATGCCACTATGGAACCCATCTATCCTCACTTTGTATTAAAACTGAAGGACCTTGAAACTGTTACTCTGGTAACTTTTATCCTCCCATTCCTCTGCATTGCCTGAGAGTAGATATGTTATTGAAATGTGCTTATTTGGTTGCTGTGGCACCTTCTTTTTGTCTCTTTCCATTTCCTCCCACTCCCTTTGCAGTATAGCAGAGGGTACTTGGGCCTGTTAATGGGCTTAATTATAGGATTCCCATGCACTCCTAGGCAGTTTACATTTACTAGACATATATTTGGTTCTGTGAAGTTGCCTAATTGCAGCAGTGGTCCTTTTTGTCTAGGTTCCCAATCCACCTCTTAGCCCTTTTACAATACCTGGATGGGCATTTGGCACTGTCAGTGTGCTCAACTGAAGTTGTGGTCCCTTCTGTAATTCCAGGATCATATCCTGCCTTTTCCCTTTTCATTACCTAGGAGGCTTTGGGGACTGTTAAAAGCCCCTGGGGCTACTGTCCCTTCCACTTGTCTAAGATCCCATCCCTCCCTCCCCCATCTCACTTGGCATTACAACAGTGACTGTTGTGCTTAATGTGCTTAAAGGCAGCTATAGTCCCTTTCCTTAGTCTGGGATCCATCCAGGCCCTTAAACATCTTTTGCATTACCATAGAAAGTACTTGGGACTGTAAGTGTGGTTAAATGCAAGTGTGGTCCCTTTTGTTAGTTTAGGAACATGACTTTTCAGTTTCTTTATATCATCTGGAAGTCATTGTAGATAAAGTTCTAATTGTAGCTGTGGTCCCTTTTGTCAATCTAAGATTCCTTTTTCTCCTACTTCATTTGCATTACAACATAGGGTTCTTGGAACTATGAAGGGGCGTCTTGTCCTGTCACATATATTAAATTTTACAAAAGAGGATCTGAACACCAAAACCCCTTCTTTTGCACTGTTAATGCAAATGAAGCATTAACATTAAATGAAGCATTTGCTTTTATCCTTTCTCCTCTGCAGTAGATATAGGCCTCACTCATTTTCCTTATATTCAGCAGTGGATGCCCTTTACTAAGGACCTTTGTACTTAATATAGTTAAAAGTGAGTCATAGTAGTTGACCACAATTATGTCTTTTATGAAAGTGGTTGACCCTCTTCATTTTACAAGAAGGTGTATTAATTACCTGTTACTTGCCTTATGTTAGAATAGCATCCCATTTCATTGCCCCATTTATATTACTGCAAGGGCTTCTGACTAGCCAAGATTCACTCTCCTGGACTGTTAATGTGCATACTTACATTTGCTCCTGTACCTGTACACCAGGTAATGCCACTCCCCCATCATATTTATACTCTAGCAGGAGGTGCCTACTGCTAAAGACCTTACACATTTATGCAGTTAATGTACACAACTTTTATCTTGTACACACTCTCAGTAGTCCATAACTGTGCCTTTTCAATCTCTTGCACTTATGGAAGCAGAGGTTACTGACCTTAAAGCCCTCTCTTGGGACTATGGATATGTTTAATTAGTTGTCTATAATCTTTTGAATTAAGATGGGTTCCTGACTCTTCACACCCTCTTTGCTTTACTGCGTGGGGTACTGTCCACTTAAGGCCCCTTTTCAAACTGTTGATGTGTATAATAATTACATTAGAATCCTTCCTCTGATTTCAATCTCTTTAAAATACCAGAGGGATTCTGACTCTGAAGGACCCATTTCTTAGCTCGATAATATGAATGTGCTTGTCTGGGTTTCTGTGTACTAGACAATGACACCTCCTCTCCCTATCCCCTTTCAGCATTGAGTGCCCTCTGTACAAGACTGTTAACATGTGGACAGTCAAGGTGCGAAATTATAGTTGATTACAGCCTTATACCTGGGACATTAATGTGTGTAATTTCACATGGCTCATCTCATTTGAATAAGATCCTATATGCTCTCAGACCCTTATTATAGTATAGCAAGGGTACTGATCACATGAAAAGGTATCTTTTCATGGCTTATTGTGCATAATTGCATCTGTACATGTTCTTGTACACCAGATAAGGACAACCCTCTCCTTATTCCCTTAGCCTTTTAGCAAGGAGTGCCCACTACCTTAAGATTTTTATATTGGTACAAGGTACAAGGTTTTAATTAACTATACCATATTCCTTGGACATTAATGTACATAATTTCAACTTGGTTCATCCTACCCTATTGCTCTCCGTTGACAGTATACCATAGTTGCTGAACCCTAAATCCCCTTTACTTGGCCTATTAATGTGCGTAATTGCATTTGCCTGGGTTCTTGTACACTAGACTAGGACACTGACACACAACATACTCCCAACCTCCTTTGCCTTCTAGTAGGTAACACCTACTATTGAGACCTTTGCATTTGGACAGTTAATGTGCAGAATTGCTGTTTTCCATATCCCTATCACTTCTAGGACTATTGTACCTCCTTTGCACTATTGCAGGGGATACTATTTTTTTCTCCAAGGCCTCTTCTAGTGGACTGGTACTATACATATTGAAATTGTCTATTGTCTTTATTAGTAGACACCCCCCCTCCCCCGCCCCACCCTGCCAACTTCCCTTTGCAGTACAGCAGAGTGCTCATCAACCAAAGCCCTCATTGGACCTTTAATATCTGCAGTTACATTTTCTCCTGTTCTCTGCACTAGATAAGCCCATCACCTACTTCCTTAGCATTTGCATCAGACAGTGCCCACTACTCAAAAGATTTGTTCACTTGGAAGTTTCATGTGCACAAATGTAATTTTGTAAGTAAATCTTATATCAGAATGACTGTACCCTCCTTGCTTTAGAGCAAGGAGATGCTATTCAACGGGCCCCTCCCTCTTTTCTACTTTAATGTGCATAATTGCAATTGTCCTTGCTTCTGTTCGAGTAGGATTGCATCTCCTCATTCCCCCCTTTGTATTAGGGGCATATTAACTATGAATGAGCTCTTCTATTGAGATTATTAATGTGCACAATTAATTGTATTTGTCTGTGGGCCTATGCAGTAGGAAAGGTGCTGTGCTCTATGCCCTTACCATTGCCTTTGAATTACTGCTGACCTCAGCTCTCAAACATTTATCCAAAATTCTGATTATTATATAGGACCCCATATTTTCTTTGTATACATCATGTATGACCCCTTCTGTTGGAATAGGATACCATTCCATTATAACCCCTATGCATTACTGCGGGGGCTGCTGACCACACAAAACTGCAAATGTTGATAGACACAATGGCAATTAGCAATGGGTTTGTCCTCCCTGATCTTATTAGGCAAGCACTCCCAGCCCCAATTTCTCATGGCATCATAAAGTGTAAACATTGCAGTATGCCCTTAACTTGTCCTTCAAAGAGCAACCGATACTCCCACTCCTTTTGCAATGCTCCAGGGCATACATTTCCAAGTAGTCATGGTCCTACCTTTATCTTCCCTCTTCCTACCTCTTGCCTGTCCTTGGACCCTTCTGTGGACCATTAATAATCACAATTTCAGTTGTCCATGTATCCAGCCATTAGATAATATTGTGATCCTTCCTGCCCCTGCCCCTGCCCCTGCCCTGCCACACCCCGCCCCACCTCATCCTGCCCTTTTGAATTGCTGGTGGGGAATGTTGATTGGGCAAGGCCCTTTCACTTGGGCTTAAATGTTAACAATCCCAGATGTCATTGGTTTACCCAGTTTATATTGCTGTGGTGCTTCAGTTGCACTTTACGTGGTCCTGACCATCTGACATGGACCCTCCATTTCCCTTTTTGCATTGCTTTTCAGTAATGCTGACTACCCAAAGGTCCTTCTGTGTTTTTACTCAACACAGTACTGATTGTCCCATTTTCCAACCCATCAGCTCAAGACCTCCCTACCACTTTGATGTTGTGTTTGTTTGTGCAGTGTTGTTTACCAAAAGCAGGCCTGAACTAGGTGGATGGGCCTTCACTCCTTTTCTTGCATTTGTTAATAATCTGAATTCCAATTATTGTCCTATTCTTGGGACAGGAGTTATCTCTGCCCACCTCTGTTACTGCTTTACTGGGCAAAATGCTCAAGGCAAGGCAAGCCCAAGGAGCTGGATTGCCACCCTTTACATTCTGGATTTTTAACACACACACACACACACACACACACACACACACATCAGTTGAAAGTTGTCTACCCAGGAAGGAAGGTTAACACTATCTCTGCATTTTTCCTTCCGAAGCAGGTTTCCTGGCTGAGAATCTCTCCTCTTTGTATATTGCTATTCTACAGAGTCAATTGCCAGGATACAACCAAAAGTTATCGCTATTTTTTATTAAGAAAGACATCTGGATTGCAAGGTGGAATTGATAAACTGGGCATTAAACTTTTGAAGTTAAAAACCCATTTATACCATGTACTTGATGACCAGTGTCTCTCATTTTACTAAGGGTGGTGGGTCTGTGGATAGACCACTGTGACTCTTGCTATACTAAAGGAGTTCGAGAATGGAACTCTTAAGACCAGTATCTTTGAGCTCTACCACCATTCTAAAACCATGCCATTTGGGTTTTACCACCATTCTCTTTTAGAAAAACTACCTACATTTCCTAATCCTTAAGTTTCTTCATCTGGAACACCAACCAGCCCCTACTTATTTCAAGAAGATAATAACTGTAAAAGCATGAAATGAGACAACATATATTGAGGTGCTTTTGAAAACCAAAGTTCACCTTATTTGATTAATCTATTACATAATGAGGACTTAAAAATGATGGGACCTGTTTCCCTGTTTTATATCAAAAGAATAGTAAGCTAAGATCTAGCCATTCTTCCGGACATAAACTTGTTTGACAGTGCGCTACCTGGTAAAAATGGTTAGCCTAGCCTCTACTGTACAGGTTTTGGTGGCAGAGAAGTATTTAATAAAGAACTACTGAAGCAAATAACTAGTCATCACAACAGCAGTTCTTTGTAATCACTGAAAAAGAATACTATTCCTCTAAGTAGGATGTCAAAAGGTCATCCCAGGTCAGGGTGCAGTTTATACTTCTAGCTCCTTGGACAGCTGTAAGAAGAGTCTCTGGCTCTTTAGAATTCTGTAAGTACTATTTTGTAGTTACTAAGTAATCTTTCCCCTGTTCTGTTTTCTCTTAGATACTACCCAGAGGTTTCCTGTTAAGTCTCTCTACCAATTCTCGCCTCATCTGCAAATGTAGTCTCACCATATGAGTGAACCAACAGAATTATAAGAATTAATATTGTGTACCTGGTCCTATGCTAGGTTACACCTAAGTGAGGGTTAGAAATAATATAGTTCTATATATATAATCTCATCCCATAGATGGTAGTATTGTTGAGCTAATATAAGCACACTTGAAATAATTTTAGGAAATGATAATCAAGTGCTGTCTTGTATGAATTATGTTAAGCTTTAATAAAAGGAGCTCACCAGGGTTTGAAGTTGACAGGGTAAATTTAAAGAAGAAGTTGGGTTTACTTCTTCTCTTTGGTTCAGGATATGATTAATATTGCAGCCATCTGGGTAGTCCAGTTGGTTTATTTAATGCCATTTGGTTTTTACTTCCTTTGGAGGCATGGAAATTGATTAAAGAGATAAGACTTAGTCATTGTGTTTGGCTACATGCCAAATTGTTGATTGTTAAATCTCATAAGTTTGAGCTTTTCAAGGTTCGGAAATTGGGGATATAAATATGATACATTGGCTCTTTGTACCTTTTTATTCTATCTCTGCCCCAGAACAGATGAGAGTAGCAATGATGCCTTTTTAGTTTGGCAAGAGGGCAATGGAGAAGCATAACTTTTATAAGAAAGCCATGACCTTGCCTACTTTATGATGAAGTTAATATACCTTCTTCCTCTTTGACTTTTTTCAACAGGTACCTTGATAAGCAAAAAAGCTTAGCCTCCCTGATATAAAACAAACAAACATGCAGCTGAAAAATATTAACATCAACTTTGAAACATTTTTTGTTCATATTATTATATCCTAGCAAGAACAAGAAGAATCATAATGTGCTGGGCTTCTCTTACTGCCCATTTTAATTCATATCCATATTCCCTCACAGCTAAATGCCTAAAGACATTATTTGTCTGACTGACTGGGAGTAATATACAAATATTCCTGAGCCTTTTTGGAAGCATGGTCTGTGCCATTGTTTCTCAAACTGAAGTTCCACAGGAACAAAATTCTTTGAGATAATAAAGAACATGTGTTTTGAGGAACACTGACTTAACGAAGTTATTTGAAATGTAAACATGTTTTCCTAGTTCAATATATCTTTGTGAAAGATATATATATATATAATGTTTTATATGATTTATGTAGTGGGGGATCCATGAGGTCCACAAACCTCCACTGAGTGTTATTATCACCCCAATATGAGAAACACTGGTCTATGCTTATGATATTTTTTATTGCTACTAATCAAATGATCATTCAGTGTTAATATATAACTATAACTATTTATTGGAATTTGTTTTAAAGGGATGAATTCTGAGCCAGTTCTGAACCCCTACTTAGGAATGATGGGTCAATTGTAGGTGGACTGAAGTCTGCACTAGAAAGCATCCAAAGGTGAATTTTGAAGTTGTTTTTCTTTTTTTTTTTTTTTTTGAAGTTGTTTTTCAATTCATTGCTTGAAATAAAATCTCTAGTAGCTGTAAAAACAGGTATTCTGGCCCTATCCAGTATATCTCAGTGGATGAAGCATCAGCGCTTGGACTAAGGGGGTCTCGGGTTTGATTCTGGTCAAAGGCATGTACCTTGGCTGCAGGCTCAGTCCCTGGACTGCAAGTGGCAGTTGGGGTGCATGAAGGAGGCAACCAATCTATGTGTCTCCCACATTGATCTGGAGAGACCAGAAAAGTTGTTACCTTTTAAGTATTTTAACTAGACAATATAAATGGATTTGGGCTTGGATTCATTTTAAAAGTTTCCAGATGGAGTGTCTATTTACCATTATTAATGGGGTTTCAGGAGGGAGCACAGTAAATATGTATAATGTATAATTGGACCCCTGTATTTGGGGATGAAGTGTCTAATCTTATGTTAAATAAGGATGGGAAAGGATTTTCAAAGAGATTTTGAAGCTTGTTCTGTTCATATTGAGAACATAGTTTATATTTTGTTCATCATAGAGTACCAGTTTGGATTTACTGGACATTTTATCTAGAGTATATAGAGTTGAGTAAGTGACCTTTCACTTACTATTAGAATTTGTTTGATGTTGACAGAAAGTTCCTTATAAATATATGGCATTTCCTGATTAGAAATCTGGAAGTCATATCTGATTCTTTCCACACCATACCACACTATGCAAAGTACTTTCAAGATTGCAAACCTGGCTTATACCTGCCCCAGTGAGCTCCTATCTTATAGTAAAGACAGCTAACTAAATATTAAAAATAGTCAAGGCAATTGTACCTCCAGGCAGTAGTAGCAGTTTCTCTGTTACATTGCATCTTGAAGTATTTTCAGCAAGATCATGACCTTTAAGCCACAAATTTAGTCACCCACAAGTGGGTATTGGTTTGCCCCATATTTTCATTTAGTTCTTTTTTTTACACTTGCCTAATCTTCAGTGATACTACCAGTGCTTGCCATTAATAGGACCTTAGGGAGACTGTACAGGAGAGACAGGACACACTTATATCTAATGATTCAGGTTCATACTTCCTAGGTTTTTTTCTATGTTGTTGAGACTTTCTCAACCGTTTTTGGTATCCTATCCTACTGAGGCCTTTTTTTTTTTCAAGGACATTCTGGATAGGTGAGACCTGAGGACTACAAGAAACTCTAAGAAGCTCCATATTCAGTACATCTTTTCTTTTGAGAATCTGGACAAGCTCCAACTAATTGAAGGATGGCTTGCAGACCACCTGAAGAAAAAGGTAGTTTGAGAAGTTTGTTGTGGTTATTCTGTCTTTGGCTTTAAGGACTTTAACTTCCTGCAAGAGCTCCTTTTTAAAACAGAATAGGAGCCAGTTTCAAATCCTACAGATTATATATATATACACATTTTGACTTTACAGAATGAATTTGGCGTATTATTTCATTTGCCCTTCAGAAGTAGGCTCCAGTGAGGTCTATAACAGCAAGCATACTTGGTCCCCATTTTATAAATAAAGAATTAGAGATGCAAAGCAATAAATTGCTTCATTTAAAATCTCATAGCTACTTAGGAGAGAGAGAACAATCCTATGCCTTCTGATGTACAGGCCTCAAAAATTATTTCTACTTTCCTTTGGCAGGTGGTACTAAGTGCTAAGGATTTGTTAATGAGTAGTACAACGTGATCTGTCATAGTCCTATTTTGGCAGACCTAATTTCATTGCCCCTCTCATTCCCTTATTTTAAGAAATTGAGGGTTTATTACTTGAAATTACTAAAAGGTAGAATAAGAGACTCAAGGTCCTGTGTTAAGCTATTTACCAGATTCCTAGCCTTCTCCACCTTGTTTTTCCTTTTGTGTAATTTCCTTAGTTGTCATAACAACTAAATATATATATCAATTTCAGAGAGGAAAGGAGAGGGAGAGAGAAATAGAACATCAATGATGAGAATCATTGATTGGTTGCCTCCTGTATGCCCCCTACTGAGGATTGAGCCCTCAACTTGGGCCCCTGATCAGGAATCAAACCGTGACCTCCTTGTTGATTGGTTGATGCTCAACCACTGAGCCACACCAGTACAACTGATGTTTTATATCACTGTAATGATTATTGGTTTCTCTGAATATCCTGAGACTCTGGTGGTGTCCCATCTATGTAAGCTGTTCAAGAAATGTCCCGTGTAGATTGAGTAGAAAACAATTGTTTCCATTGGTAGTGCTCCAGCATCTGACTAAAATGAATTAAAAGAGAGGAATCCTGCCCAACCGGCATGGCTCAGTGGTTGAGTATCGATCTATATTGATTTCAGAGAGGAAGGGAGAAGGAGAGATAGAAACATCAACGATGAAAGAGAATCATTGATTGACTGCCTCCTTCACATCCCCTACTGGGGATTGAGCCCACAACCGGGAATGTGCCCTTCACTGGAATCGAACCTGGGACCATTCAGTTTGCAGACCGATGCTCTATCCACTGAGTCAAACTGGCTAGGGCTAAAACTATATTTTAAAAGAGAAGAATCCTACAAAACTAGGTGAGAGAGACACTTTGTGGTAAATTGTTCAGTTATTAAAAGAGTGCTTTATAAAAGAAGCCTGAGGCAATATGAAGAAGAGTTCTTATAGAACTCATAGGATCAGACAATATTGGAGCTTTTCTAAGTAGCTTGATAGCTCTTTTGGTTGAGAAAGCTTTATCTGTTCCTTCTATTTTCAACCCCTTGATTTTGTCCTTTTTTTGTCCTTTCACTTTATTTTATGGTGAGAACACTAGAACATTAATAATCCACAATACAGAAGACTGCTCATTAGTAGAGACTGGAGAATAAAGTACAGTATGGGAATTTTGGTAATAATTCACCTCTAAATTCCTCTTTGTGATGAGGTGAAATTCAAGGGAAAAGCTGGAATGAGTAGTAGAAGCATTTGCTTTTCTCTAGGCTGGTAGCTAGAATATAGAGCTCTCCACAGTTCTTAATCTCCACCCCTCAATTCACATGGAAAAAAAGAGTAGACATCACTTAATCTAATTACTAGTTGTTCTTTGAGACAGATTTTCCCAGTATACTGCATTTCAGTAATTTATTTTTCTTTTATCTCTTCTCCAGACCTTCCTTAGAAGAATAGGCTTGTTGCTTTGCAGTGTTAGTGACCTATTCCCTTTGACGATCCCTAGGTGGAGATGGGGCATGAGGATCCTCCAGGGGAATAGCTCACTACCACTGGGCAACAACCCTAGGCCAGGAGGTTCTACCAAGATTTTTTCCTGGGCCCAGATAGGAAGGTGAAGTCTCAAGACATCCTCCACACATCAGAGGTGGGTAAGCTGTTCCTAAAAGCACAATAAGGATACTGTCTTTCATGTTTCAGTATACATTGCATTTAGATTTCCACTGAAATTATTTTGATCATTATGAACTGTGTCTGCTTTGGTAAAAATAGCTTCCTAACTCACCTGGGAAGCAACTGTGTTTGAGATGGGTGAAAATGGTGATGTGAGACAGGCTGATTGATTAGATGGCTGCAGGTTGGGAGATGGTCCAAGTGTAGTAAGTCCTGATTGTAAAGGACAAGATATTTTCCTGTTTATGGCATAGTTTCCCATTCTATGAGGAAGTTGTATTAGTTTTACCTCTAAGGACCTAAACTTTATACATTTCTAAGCTCTGTAGAGATAGTTTCTATAACTCATAATTTGAATCTTCCTATAACTCTAGTGAGTACTCAGTTAATACTTCTTTATGCATATATATAGTTTCCTTTGTTATTTTCTCCCTCTTTTTTGTAGCTCCTGTTTGTTCCCTTTATATCTATCAAATCGTTCATCCTTCTGAAAAGCAATCCAGAGAGCAAGAAATTTGAACACAACAAAGGAAGATCAACATGCCTGGCACTCTAGCATTTTAGAATAGCAGAATAAAGTAAGTTGTTGGTGTTGTAATCATGTGAGGACCTGTTTGGAGCTAATAGCTGTTTGTCAGAGGTTTTTGTGCAATGGGCTATGGTGGTTTTTGTGCAGGAGGGGCCTGAATGTGAGATGGGATAATGACAAGTAACCTGCAAAGGCATACCTCAGAGATACTACAATTTGGTTTCAGACAACCACAATACAGCAATAAAATGAGTTGTTAGCTTGTTGCTGGTAGAGGATGTTGTAAAAAATGCAACATCTGTGAAGCACTGTAAAGCCAAGTGCAATAAAATGAGGTAAGTTATGCCTGTATTGCCAACTAGGTTCATTGAAGCAACTTAATGATTAATTAGTCTATACCAGTTGTGTTAAGGTTAGTCTCACCTTATCTGTTTTTTATCTTTACTGCATAAATTCTTTGCCACTCTTAGAGGCCTAAACATATAGAAACTTAAAACAAAATTTTTGTTTTGTTGCTGAAAGTGTGGCCCCTTTTCTTATATCATCTTGTGAGAGAATGTATTTGCAGTAGTGTTAAAGGAAAAGCAAGTGTTATAATTGTGATGGGTGGGAAAATCAAGTTAGTTTTCTAAAGGGATAGGAAAGGATGAAGATAAAAAATGAGGGCATTGACTAGGACCTCTTAATGGCCCTTTATATTAATATTCACTCATCTGTGGCATCTCATTTGGCTTTTGGAATTTCTTATAAACAGTTGTAGTAGAATATTAAAAAGGCACACATTCTGAGTTTAAATCCTCTGCCACTCATGTTGTTGTTATTATAATTGTTAATAGTTATATAAGTAGTATTGGTACTAATCATAGCTTATTGTAGTTATTAATGTTCTTTTTTTGTTTTCTTTTGTTCTCTTTGTGATGTTTCTCATAGTTGTTGTGCCCCTCACTATATCTTGTCTCTTCTACTTCTAAAAGTCTGCCTTGCCTCATCTCTTTCACTCATAAGTGTGTATTTCTTTGCTTATCTATTTTTTCCTTGAATGTCTTTGGTCTTTGTTCTCTCAAGTTTCTTACCCAATTCCATGATCCTCTTGCTTGTTTCTTCTCTGTGTATCTTTGTCTCGTTTTCTTTTTTGTTCATAAGAGTTATTTGTGCCTTGTCTTAGATGGCTCTCATTTTTTCATTTTGTTACTAATTGTCTTTGTTTTCCTAGCTCTTGCTCTTCTTTCACTGTTCTTCCCATTGTGTCTCTGAGTCTCATGCTTTTTGCTCATTCCTTGTCTTGTCCACCTCTTTTTTTTCCTCTTTGTGAACTCTTGATTGTTCATCATTCTCTCCCATTTTGTTAGTTTGACATTTTACCTTTTTCTGATTCTGGCCTCCTTTCTGCTGTTTCTACTCTTCGTCTTGGGTTTCTCTCTTCTACATGTCCTTTCTGGCCTCTCTTGGGCCATTTTCTTTCCTTTTTCCTGCTCTATGTGCCTCAGTGTCTCTTTGTTCTTTGTGTCTTTCCATTTCACCTTTCTTCTCTCTGTTCTCTTGTTCTTTTGCTTTTCCCCTCCACCCACCTTTGGGTACTTCAGCCTCTTCATGAGTCTGTGTCTTCCCCTTTGATTTCTTGCAATACTCTCTCCATGCATATTTTTTTGTAAATGTGTGTGTGTACATCCATGTGTGCATGTTTGTGACAAAGGGGTTTCCTAACCCCTTCCTAATAGGTGCAGAGTATCTACTATCAAAATAAGCATTGCAGAGCTGTTCCTTATGCCAGGCCATCCTGTGAGATAAATCCAAAACTAGTAGAAGGCCCAAGGATCCAAAGACCTAAGATGTACAGAAGGTGGAAGGCCCATAATGGATATAATTCCCAACACAGAAGACAGAATTGAGACCTGTGGACTAAAGTATAAAACCTGTGTCCCAAGATATTTGGAAACCTCAGCCTTGAGACCATCAGAAGCCCTAGAGCCATTATGTACATAAAGAAGGTGGCCTTTGTCGGATAACTGAGTTGGATGCAAGTCTTGTGTCTTGAGTTAGACAAAAGGCTGAAAACCCAGGATGAAAGAACCAAGCCTATGAGTGGGGATACATAGAAAGCCTGAGACCTGAGTCACAAGACCTGAGATAAAAAAAACTTAGCTTGAAGACTTAAGACCCAAGGATATGAGGTGTCACACACACATAAAGACCCTGGAGTCAAGCATCTCTAGGTGGACTTGAAAGACCAAGAGAGACCAATATCTTAAGACTAAATTAAGCTGGAGTTCCATGACCCTAAATCTAGGAAAGCCGGAAACCCCAAGACCAGAGGAAGTCCCAATATGAGGACCCTAAACCTCTATTCTGCTATCCTTCCTACCCTTGGATATTTTCAGTTCTTCCTTTCCAGTTTTTATATCTCTATTTAAGCCCACTAATTTTGTGATATCCTTTTTGATGTTGTTATTATCTTGAGATTGGCAATATTATGCCTGGGCCAGTGTAAGGTTCTTTTTATTATAGTTTTGAGTCATTTATTAAGTTTTAGGTATTTTTTTAAACTTTACTTTTTTTTACCTCCACTCGTTGGAGAGAGACATATCAGTGAAATTGTATTTCAGTCCTCTCTTTTCCTCAGAAGCTCTAGGCTGATGAGAAGAGGAAAGTGTCAGGCTATGTAGAGAAAATGTGAAGAGATGCCTCAGGCCAATGTGAACATTTAGATAGAAAATACACAGATGTGCCAGCCTGGTGAGAAGGATCAGCCAGTAACATGATTTCTTTGAGCTTGAGTGAACAGGATTCCTGGGGTTTGGGATTCCTAGTGATGGTTAGAAAAAAGAATGAGTAGTCCTGGAACAGAGTGATGTCCCAAGGAGACAGCCTGAACTCCCTGCTCATAGTAGTGGCCTAATAATTTGGTAGACTACACCAACCCTGCCCTAGGCTTTAATATCAACCTCTGGGCTTAAAGATGACAGAATTTGGAAGTAATTAGGTTTAAATCTTTCCTTTTTCTCCCCCTTATCACGAGGAAAGATAATTTAAATAACTGAGATATATATGAAAATAAGGTGTTTTCATTAATAGTGTATTGCCAGCTATGCACAGCTAATATGTATTATAAGTACACTGTCAGTTTTGAAGCATTTTGTACATCAGGGAATCACACTCTTAAAGGGGAAAAGGTAAATATTTTAGTCTTTGCAGGCCTATGGTCTCTACATTTCACTTCCCCCTACCGCCAGTCCTTTAAAAAGGAAAACTATTCTTATCATGTTAACCAAGTAGATTTGGTCTGTGGGCCATAGTTACCCCTGATGTAAATGCTGAATAATATTAATTTCCTTGTGTGAGCCTGTCCCTGTTCTAGGCACTAAGGATTCAATGATTATCATCACATCCAGGTGACCTAAATAAAAATGTGTGAATATGCTTTTAAACTATGAAAGTGCTTAAAGATGTATTAAGTTTCAGACCTGATAAATATTGATTACATATCAACAGTATGTAATACTATGTAGATATTAGGAATTAAGTGATTAATCAATGAAAATTTCATATATTTGTAACCGTGTTGCTGCTGCTTTGGTGATTTTGAGTAAATACAGTATTCCAAGTAGCAGAAAAGAAAACACGTAGAAACTGCTTTTAAACTGTAAAATATACAGCAAACACAAGGGATTAAGCTATTTTGATGACTTACAATGGGCCAGATAACTTGCTAAACACTACAGAAACAATCTCAATATAGAATTAAAATTTTCAGATAAGAAATGCATTTTAAAGTGGTTTGTAAACTAAAGCACTAAATATCAATGAGCTAAATGTTATGAATGAATGAATGAATGAATGAATGAATATTAACTGCCTTTTATGTGACAACTATTGTTTTGGGTTCTGTGAAATCTAAGGCAAAACTCCCAAGTAATAAGTGGGAGGTTTATATTGTGAATTATTTATATGTAAGGAAATTAGATAATGCTTATTTTAATCAGTCAAGACTTTACTGATAATATCAAGTTATTATTACCAGTATATTTTCCAAGATAACAGGAAAATGTAATGAATGAGACTGAGCTTTCTAAACTATAAAGTGCTATATAAATATGACATTAGGTATTTTCTCTGTGAATAAAATTTTTCGTGAGATAAACATTCTTTATAAAATTCACCCACTATGAGAGTGGTAGTAAAATAGTTATGCAAACTTGAGGGTTTGAATACTTGTTAAATGAAAGCATATCAGTTGTCTACTATGTGAAATCACTGTTACAGGCACTAAAGAGATACACACATTTATAATTTTATTGTGCCTACAATTGAGAATAAGGCAATACATATGTTAGTATTTTGTGAACTCTAAAGCACCATATAAATGTCACTATTAATTTTTCTCACTTGGTGCAAAGTACTATAAAAAGTTCGAAATATTTAAAGTATTAACTATTGAACAATCTGAATATAATATGTAAAAGATTAAATTTATGATGAATGCAAGACTGGGTAATAATTGTCTACTATGCCAGTCTTTTTGCTAGGCACCAAGGACCTGAAGATAAAACATCTTTATTGTGTCCTTGATAGCTGAACATAATGTCTGAAGTCAATTTATAAGTCTTGAACTGCCATACATATGTAAGCAATATCCGTTTTATGAATATTGATTTTTTACTCTCATCCTCAGAGATAACAACTAGTGATGCAAAAATTCATCACCCTTATTATTGAATCTGTAACAGAGGTCTATGTGTAAATTTAGAAAACCTAGTGTTCTATATAGATATAAGGAATTAACTGTTGGCTTAATGAATGATGAATGATTACTTTTTATGAGGCTTAAAACTACATATGCCCTAGTATATAAATACGATTTTATCCTCATGGGATGCTTATAGAAGGAAATAATGTAATAGGTGTGAGCTCCAGACTAAAAAGTACTTAACTACTGCTAGGCTTATTTAATGATAAAAACATTGAGAATATAGAATTGTACAAAGCAGTACATGGAAAGATACAATCCAGACCAAAAAGCTCCTTGCTCCCTCGCCTAATTAAAGAGATGGAATTTTTTTTTTTTTTTTTTAAAGCAAGCTGCTCTTGTTCTCCATCAGTTTTTTAAATGCTGAATGCTAAAGATGGAGGTGAATTAGCTCCACCTTGGCCTGGCTTAAAGATATTTAAGAAGTAAAAATAAATGGCTCAGCAGTGCTTTTAGATTTCATTTGATAAGCACAGCATATTTTGTGTGCAATAAATCATTCTAGGTCCTGAGCATAAGAGCAGTGAAATGGGCCTAGTCTAAAGGTCTTTAGATTGAACACAGATCATAGCTGCAGATATGAAAATATCTTTGATTTTTTAGTAAATATTTGAGTGCCTATTTTCTGGGAAGTATTATGCTCATTTAATGAGTCGAGTAGGTATGGCTCAGAAATCCCATTGGCTCGCCTTGGAGATTAAAGGAAAAAAAAGTCATGGTCCTTTTAATATATTTTCCCTAGTTCTGGATAGTCTCAACTTCACATGCTCAGTGACCTAAATTGAAGCCAGAAGACTGTTAAAAGGGCTCAGGATTTGTCCTTTAATTCATTAATTTAAGTTTCTGCTTCTATTATAGTTTAAGATAAGAATTAAGATGAAACAACTGGTTTTAAAAATATTTGCTCATTGGTCTAGCCTAGAATCAGGAAGCCACTTGAGCAATAAAAATGATTTTATCTATAAACATTTATTCACTCTGAATAAAGTGCTGAGAGAATTAAGAGATTCCAAAGACCAAACTGCACTTTCATGTCCTCTAGCTTATGGTTGAAACACCCAGAATAAATTTTATCACTGCAGGTCTTTCATTGAGCAGCTGTGATATTAAGACACTGAGAAGGAATGATTAAATAGATCACCTTCTCTTTGACATGTTTTGTAGAATGGGAATGAGAGCTTCCTACTTATTCATTCATACAAACATTGAAGATGATGCTAAAAGAAATAGATCTGGTAGAAATGGCATTTTATCTTGGAGATGCAATAAAAAACAAGGAATGTGATAAAACATTAAGCAGAAGTGTCTATTTGCAATGTGCTAATTTCTAAACAAAACAAAAAGATCTTAACTAAAAGACACTTGTTTTTAACTAGCTTGGAGACTAGAATATAAAAAGTTACTGTTCATTCACTTTTTTTCATTTATTCATTCATTCTACAAGTATATTTGAGTGCCTATTTTATATAAAGTACTTGTTAGGTTCTCACTTGGCCCAAGAGACATGAAAAATGTATGCTTTCCCAGAGAAATTTTAAAAACTTTGCTTTTGGGGTGTTTTCGTTAGGGGTTGACTTAGCCCCTGAGTAACATTGTGTGGTTTAATTCCTACTCCATATTTCTTCTATCACTCTGGCCACTACGATAAGCAGGGTTTTCCACTGAGATAGCTCCTTAAGTTCCAGGAATCCTCTTTATAATAGACACTTCCTTTTCCTAGCTCATGAAAAATGATTGGCTACTGTTGAATAGAAGAAGGGATGACAACTAATTCCCAAACCACAGTGTCAATCATACCAGCCTTGGGGAGCCATGCATACTCAAGCCACAATTGGTTTTGAAACATTTAACAATTTTGTCTATTTTCAATTCTTTATCCTTTACATTCTGACAAATATACACTGCCTAACTAGATCGGAGGAACAATCCCCAGATAGTACATAGCAAGACTGAAGATGGAGACATGATTTCTCTTTAACAACAGATTTTGACTTAAACTTTAGAAATCGCCTCTCAGTATCAAAACTGGGTCACGAAAGGACTTATATATGGTAGAATATGGTCAGTGAATGAAAGTGGCTTAACAATTTATCATGCTTAAATTTTAAGAGTAATAAAAATGAGAAATAATTGGCAAAAATTTGAGGGAAAAATACAATAAATAAATAAATAAATAACCCAAACCTCTAAATCCAGGCCCCACTCGGCTTTGACCTTTTCTATTTTTAAATCACTCACAGAGGGTGGGATAGGAGGAAGAGTGAAAGAAAAGGTCAAACCTGTTTCTAAGGGCAGCCTGCCTTTTTTTGGATTGGTCTTATGAACTCCGGGTCTAACTTGAGGATTGCTTTGTCCTCATTCATTTCTTTGGCTGAATGATGATATTATCAATTAAGCCTTGGGTTACATAACTATGTGATTTATCAATTAAATCAATTTAGCCTCCATCATAAAGTAGTGTTAAATCTAAAGGCAAATTTCACTGTAAAGGAAGAGGACTTCATAGTTCACTGTAATTTATAATACTTTAAAAGCATATATACTTGAGTTTACATGGCAAGCCATTTATAACAAGCATAAATGAAGAAGAAAATGTGGAGGTAGCACATTTGAGAATTTGGGAGGATTTTTCTGATTTTTGCTTTGTACATTTTAATTTTGACATCAGATACATCTGTAATGTTTGACTTTTAATATGTGGTATCAGCTGGACTCAGTAACACTCTTTTCTCCAGTTGGGGGTGGATTTTCATATTTGGAAAGTGCAAAGAAGAAAGTAGCTACAAGCCTGCCTTTTGTGGTTTCTGACATCCTGAGACTACCACTACTGATAAAACAAGAATAAGAGAACATGCTACCATCATCTGTTTTTTGTGGCATAAATAAAGCAGTAAACAAATCCATTTTTATAAGAATGTACTTATCTCCACCCTTCAACCTCAAAGGGAATATATGCCAAAATGCTCCATTAAATGAAAGAAATTCTTTGACTTGTGTACAGATGTGAAATGCAGAATCTCCGTCTTGGGTGGTTTGAAGATTGACAAATCTTGCTCAGCATAGGTGACATCAAAAAGCAATCTTAAAGCCATCATATAACAACTGAGATAAATTGGGGAGTGTTTTTTCTAATGTCAAATAAAAGCTAATGTTTTGAAAACTTTGTATTTTGATATGACAAGTTCTGCCTCATTGTCTCTTCACACATTATTTCCTTTTGTTTTTCCTTTTACTACTTTGGGTGAGTAAATTTTTTGTGGTCTTATAATCAGACAAACAATGGGTCCATGCTGCCTGTCTACTTGAGCCAATGAAGCAGAGACAGGATTGAAACATAATGAGCATTTAGTCCAAAACTGCTGGCACCAGCAGTACAGGAGAGCAGCAGCTTAGCCACAGAAATCTGCTCTGCAGCTCACCATAAGTCAGTGGCTTATATAGCAAAAGCACAAAGGAAACGTAGGCAAAAGGGCAGTTTACAGATGCAAATGGACTAGGGGTCTTCAAAGGGCTTAGTGATATGCAAGGGATGGGGTTACATGGGCAAATAGCCTAAGGGAGTGCCGGATGGACAATTAACAGGTAAGCAGGTTTGCAAAGGACTGCAGGTATGCCAAAAGGGATGGGGATCTTCAAAGGACTGGTATCTGTTTTCTGTAACAAATCTTTGTTAATCTTTTCATGATAATAGGCAGCTCCAAATGGGGGGAGGGGAGCAAGGGCTGCAACTCCAGATCAGCTCCAGCCTGGGTAGAAGTGCCTTCTCCATAAATAATGGTTAACAGAGCATGATTAATATTTCTTACAATCCTAGCTGGTCCCCCACATTCTATCTCATTTCCCCACTGATGTTTATCTCATATCTATGGAATTTTTATCAATTAAGAATTGTCAGAAAGATTAAAATAGCATATTCCTTTAAATTCCTCACAATTATGGTTATGCCACAACAACAAATAATGTATTGCTACCTGATTCTCTAGAACTGCCTCCCTCACCTGTCTCAGCTCTTGATTTATCCCCTGTATAGCCCTGGAAGTGGCATTCAGGGCTTTTTCCATGCTATAAGCCAGCCAGGTCACTTCTATATGAAGAAAGCCTACCATTATCAGCATAACAAAAATGGTTAAAGTAATATATTCAGCAGGGCTCCACAGGTGGAGATCATTGAAGTCCAGTGCCATGGGTGTGAGAAGGTCACTTTTGATTTTGGCCCTGTGATGTTTCTGAGACATAAAGACAGTAATCCTAAGGAACAAGGCCCCCGGTGCTGTTGGCAACAATATGAATAAACAGTACCCCACACATCAGAAACTAACTAGCCAGAAGCTTAGTATGTCCATTACTATAAGGGAGGGAGGAACTATGAGCACAATTTATATTTTAATTATTAGATACTTAAAGACAATAACTAGAACACCCAGTAAAAGTCAGACATCCACTACAAGTTACTGCAGCAACATTTAGAGAAAACATCCCTGCATCCTTTTCCCAGACAATGGGTCCCAATATATAAAGGTCCCCATTTGTGACTTTCCCCAAATGAATAGAATAATCCTATGTATTAGCAATATGTGTTCCAACTCCTACTAGGCAAGGTGTAAAGGTCCATCCTGCATAGGTTCCTCCATTGCCAGCTTCAGAGCAGTTGAAGTGACAAGATGCATGTCTCAGGATCCTGTCCATTTCTCCAGTTAGCCCATTGTCTTTACTCTGCTTATGTCTGTCTAACTGCCTACTGCATCCCCTCAAGGATTTTGGCTCTGAATTCTTTCATGGGAAAAAGACACAGAGTCTCTTCTGAAACTGCTTCCTGCTCAGGAGGGGCAAAGGTTTCTCTCAGAGCTAAGAGATCCTTGCTCTCTGTCAGAGGGACAATGAGGCCTGGGCACTGAAGGAGGTGGCAATGATGTCTGGAGGTGGCATTCTCTAAGTGCAAATAGGGCTTGTAACCTGGTGTAGACACTGTGTTATAACAATATTATTGGCCAAATGTTAGAACAGCAAAAATTACAATAAATGGTCTGGTGAAAGGAAACCCCCCCGCCCCACACACATTTCAGTTCTAATAATTCCCCATTGAAACACAATTTCTCCCCCTAAAATTCTTGCCCTCATTTTCATTAAAGTGCCAAATTAAGGCCGATTTATTTACTGTATTAAGTCTATTTTCAATTTAGCCTGATCATTTGCATGAACACAATAAGAATAACAGTTGAGTACATAGGCCTTTAAATAGATATAGATATAGATATAAATATGCTTTCCTGGAATCTTATGTTCCAGCTTTAATTAGCCCCTCAGGGCAAAGAAGCTGAGCCACTTACCTGCCATCAGGCTTGCCTGCAATAACCTGTATACTTGGGTGAATTCCTCAAGTTCTTGAGGTCCCCAATAATGTCTTGAAGTTCCTCCCTTGCCAGCTTTCAGGAAAGTAACCTTCCTTCATTCCCTGGAAAGACTGCTGTGAACCATGTGACCAAGCAAGGTATCAGGCTTTCTCCAAGGTGTTCTTATTGGGTTCATTCCTTAAAGCTTTCTGGTGACAACCAGAATCCAGACATGTTACACATGACATTCCAAAGTCCTTAGTTAATAAAACCACAATTAGAAACTGGTCTTGTTGAATTAATGCGTAGAAATGCATTGCCATGACTCACTCATTAAGAATTGCCAAATTCTGTGGAGGGATCAGATGGGGAGAAAAATATAATTAACCAAGTTGCTTTAAAAATGCTTTCTCATTTGCATGAACACAATAAGAATAACAGTTGAGTACATAGGCCTTTAAATAGATATAGATATAGATATAAATATGCTTTCCTGGAATCTTATGTTCCCTGGGCTTTCTATAGTCTTACAATAACAAATTTTCTATCTTTATGACAATGTCAAACTGATTTGATTATTATACTATATAATAAAAGGCTAATATGCAAATCAACGGAACAGCAGAACGACCGGTCACTATAATGCACACTGACCATCAGGGCGCAGATGCTCAACACAGGAGCTGCCCCCTGGTGGTCAGTGCACTCACACAGGGGGAGTGTTGCCAG